GGCAATATGCCTCCAAAGCTCAGGAATCATATATTTATATTAAAATTAATCCAGAGAGCTGAGGATATAACTCAGTGGTAAAGTGCTTGCCTAGCATACACAAGGCCTTTGGTTCAATCCCCAGTTTCACAAAAATTAAAATTAAATTAAATTAACACAGCAAAAAAGAAGGAAAACACTTATATACTTTTTCTTTTTTATTGGGAAAGAAAACTTTCCTAGACCACCTCAGTAGAATTCTCACAGGACTAAGTTGGCCAGCATCATCATGTGGTCATCCCAGTCTATAAAGGGGAATACAAAGGTGAATATCTGGTTATTTTAGCCAGGATGAAAAAGAAAATAAAGGATTGAGAATGGCAAACAGAGTCTGCCAGGTAGTTTTAAGCCTTTGGCAGCAGGAATAGACACAATGGGCTGGAAGAGAAAATCTTCACAATAAGAAAATTCTGTCATGTACAGGGGTCATAAAACCAAAAGCCTAATGAAGCCAACAAGTAGCATGAATAAGATTAGTGGGCTCAGGGGCTAGAATTATGCAGGCAAAAGGAAACCCCACTCCTAGTTCTCTCCATCACCCTAATGCAGAACTCCAATATCTGAGCCCTTACAGAAAAACCAGAAGGATTCTATTTAGAGATTACTAAATCAGTTCCAGGACATCTTTACAAATTGGCATTCAGGGATCATTTGGTAAAACAACGGAACTGATCAGCCTTTGCAAGACCTACAAGTTTTCAACCCTGATCATGCATGCAGTGCTTCCAGTCAGTATTTTCAGGTTTAATTTTAAATGTTAACCAGAGCCTGTCAGACCCATGAATAACAATATAAAAGATAAAAGATAGACACTAACATAAACATCAAAGATAGACACTAAAACAAAATTTAAAAGCCCAAGAAACTGAAAAAATGAACTATAAGAAAACAAAAATAATTTAAGTAAAAGAAGAAAACTTTAAAAAAAGATTTTAATTAACTTTCATTTAAAATTAATTGTAGATTCACCTGAAGTTGTAAAAAATAACAGAGCTCTCATGTACCCTTGATCCAGTTTCCTCTGATGGTAACTACTGTCTGTGCCCCACCAAATCTAAATGTTGAAACATTAATAGCCCATGTAATGGTATCCTGGTTGGTGATTAAGACATGAGGGTGGAACCCTCATGAATGGGATTAGCGCCCTTATAAGAGAGACCCTGGAGAATTCCCTCTTCCTTCCACCACATGAGGACACAAGGAGAAGTCAGCTCTGTAAGCCAGAACCTTCATGAGATGCCTGATATGTCAGTGCCTTGATTTCAGATATCCCAGGCTTTAGAACCATAAGAGATAAATTTCTGTTGCCACTGAGTGTATGGTGTGCCATTGTAGCAGTCCAAACAGGCTGAGACAGATATATATCTTGCAAAACTATAGTATCATATCTCAACCAGGTGATTAACATAAATATAATCAAGACAGAGAAAGGGACACTTTGAAAAAGCTTTAACAAAACAAGATTCACGAAATAAGATTGCATTTCATACAGGTACAATCAGGGAATGAGAAAAAAATTCTTGGAAATTAAAAATCTGGTTTGTGCCATTCTGTATTTTTCCAAGATATCCACATTTGCACCTTCCATTCAGCAAGCTCTTCCTCACAATATGATGCTCTCATTCGTTTCATTTAGAGGTGGAATCTTCATTTCCTCACTTGGAAGAGAACTCTACTTAAGAAGTTACACCATTTTTACATCAAATCAAGTTTATAATTCTAGTTAAATTGAGTTTTTAAAATCAATTCCTCAAAATGAGAGCATCTATGGGTTTCCTGTACCAACTACTATATTAATGAGGGTAATAATTAACATGTGAAGAATGCAAGCACCTTATTGCTGGTGCAAATATTATTGGATATGAGTGGTGAATTAACTGTGGTGGTCTTGTTGGCAAAAAGAAGAACATGGTTTATGGGGTATTAAGTTTCTGTTGTAGTGTACAAACAATTTCCTACCTATGACTGCCTAAGATCACTTCAGTTTAAAAGAAGAAGAAAGAGAAGAAAGGAAAATCAAATCATTTAGCTTGACGAAGCCACAGGAGAACTGTCCATCATGCTGATGAACAAGTTAGGGGTTCTCAATGTCCAGTCCCAGGAACAGATGCACCAGTACTTACAGAAAACTCATTACAAATGCCTTGGGTTAGTAAGATTCTTAGCCTTACCACTGACTTGCCAAATGAGAAAGTCTGGGCTGGGCATGCCAGTCTTTTAACAAACCTTCAGGTGATTCTTTCAAGAGTAAGAATCAATGATTTAAGAAATAGTTTCTTCTAAAACTACTAGAGAATCCATTCCTTTGGAAGATGGTCTCATCCTTCTGGATGTTTTCCTGCAAATTCCACATTCCAAAAGTCTCTAAAATTTCCAGTGTTCCTGGTACTCTGGGTCCCTAAGGAAGACCTCTCAAAGAGTATGTGTTTTGAGACGTATAGAAACTTTTTAACAACTCCCATTTCTCCCTTGGTCCCAGTGGTAATTAGCCCAGCTCTGATTCCTGAGCCCTGTCCAATAGTTTTTCCCAAGGTTATTACCACTTCCTCTAGGGCCCCATGGTTGAGCGTACACATGGGAAATGGACAAGATCTCCAAGAAGATGTAAGACCACAAGTCCCATTCTGGGCTGAAGGAAGGTGCGAGGACAGAGTTTGCTCACCTGCAACATCTGCTGGAGGCCGGGAATAAGAAACAAGTGGCATAGACTTGATGTGAGTGAGTCTAATGTGTCAGGAGAGACCCAGGAAGTACAACAGGTAGAATATGTTGTTAAAAACAGATGCTCCAGGTTACCACAAAAACAACCCAATGTAGATTTGGCCCTGTGGTTTTAAGGGAAGATGCAAAGAGAAATGGACAAAAAAGAGATGAAGAAAATCAACTATGAAAGTCTCCACCTAGCCACATGTAACAATGTCACATAAGTAATTACTAATACATTACGTTGGTAAATTTTTTGAGGAATTACTAAGTGAGAGTTGTTGGACCCACTATGTTATTGAATTTCTAATATAATTAAGACAGACAACAGGAAAAAAATGGTAAGTGCTAAAATGGAGGTACTTGAAAAACATTATTGGAAGTCAGAGAAAGGAATAATTAATTCTGTATGGGAGAAATGGGAGAAGGAGTCAAAGAGAAGAAGGTGATATCTGAGGGCTTTTAGGTTGAAAAGACAGCAAAAGGTACTTAAAGGAACAGGAATTATTACCAAAGATATGGTAATAACCAAATAGATGGCACATGTAGAAAATATGAATTCCTTAAGCAGTAAATGGTGACAGGAATACTGATTCGAAAGGTATATGGAGGGAATATTTTATTGTTTTGTATGGAACTCTGAGAGAGAGCTGCATGCACATGTTAATGTATGTTTTTCTCCCCTGGTTCTATCTATAGAGCATTTGAGATGACTCAAAGAGTTTGAGTTTTATGCTGTGAGCACAAAATAATCATTAAAGATTACAACAAGAAAGGAGCATGATCCAATTGGCACTGAAACGTCTCCTGGGCAGCTGTGTAAAAGGAGAACTGGAATGGAAGGGAGCACATGGAAGTGAAGGATGAGAAGAGAATTACCTCCAGTAGAAAATAGATTGTGATGGGCCAGGAGAGAGAGAGGATGGGGGAGACTGAGACAGGACACGGGGTGGGGAGACCACTTTCCTTTGTCCTTTTCCTGATTGAAGTTTCTTTTAATGATGGCAGAATTGCCCCCAGAACATTTCTAGTTTCTCTAAATTGCTTCTTTTCCTAGCATCTCCTTCTCCATGCCCTGTCAATGTCTCTTCCCCTCCATGTGCTTCTCCAAATGGGCCCATTCTCTCCCCAGCGCCAGTATTTCCCCTTCCCTGCCCTTTGCCTGTCCTATATCACTCCATTCCCACCCTTGTAATCTCCTTTACTGCATCTATTCCCATTTCTCTTCATTTAACTTCTTCCTTTTTCTTCTACTCTTAGATTTAGTAAATCTTCTAAAGTTGCTGTCCTTTCAGAAGAACTCAATCATTTTCAGGCAATAGCCATCATCTGTTTCTTAATGTAGTGAATTCTCTCCCCCATCTCTTTGCCTCCACAAATGTCCTGTGGAACCTTACAAAGGAAGGCATACCTATGTTGGGGGCTGGGAAGAAACTGGGTAACCCAGGAATCCAGCTGGGTCCAGAGGTTCCTCCACAAGGACTTGGACGTCCTATAATTATTCATCATATCCTCATTGAGTACTGACTATGACAAGAATGGACACATAAGGGTGCAAATAAATTGTGAAATTAAGACCCTTGTCTCTAGGACCTTATGATTGAACTGTAGAGGAAAAGCAGGGGTGTGAAAGCTCTTAACATTTTAAAAAATATATTTATTTTTTTGTTATAGGTGGACACAATATCTTTATTTTATTTCGATGTGGTGCTGAGGATCAAACCCAGTGCCTCACACATGCTAGGTGAGTGCTCTACCTCTTAAGCCACAATCCCAGCCCCAGCTCTTAACATTTTGATGTGTTAAATGTTGTGTCCAAATCTTTAGAGACTGGAAGGAGGGGATAACTTCAAACTAGGAGTCTTAGCAGAGGAGAGGAATTACTGCTTATTATGCCAGGCATCATTCTAGAGACTTTATATGTGTCCTTCCATGTTAGCCCACAGAAAATTCTACAAAGAAAGCCTTTTTGTTCCCACCTTATAGATGTGCAAGCTCAGATCCTGACAGAACAGGTAAGATGTTCAGTCTGATCTCAAGGAAATGGAAGACCTGAACCGGACTCCAGATCTGCCTCACTCCAAGTGTTTTCCTATGACTATTTCCATCTTTGAAAGGCAAGTTATGTATAATTCTGGATGACTCTAAGATATCTCAGGAATCTGTATCCCAGCACCCACGTGTGAACCCTTCAGGGACAGAGCAGCACCAGGTATCATGGTCTGCATATGAGAATGCCCATCAGATAGACCCCAACGACTTCTTCTGAGTCCCTGAGCATTCACAGGGCAAGTAGTGACTTCGAACATCCATGTCTGGGTTTCATTTTCTTTAGCTGCATGGAGAAGACACCATGGAACCACAGAACCTCACCTGGGTGTCAGATTTTGTCTTCCTGGGGCTCTCACAAACTCAGGAGCTCCAGCCTCTCCTGTTTCTGCTGTTCCTATTTGTGTATGTCACTACCGTTGTGGGAAACCTCCTCATCATTGTCACAGTGACCTCAGACTCCAAGCTCCACACACCCATGTACTTCCTGCTCCGAAATCTGGCTGTCATAGACCTCTGCTTCTCCTCAGTCACTGCCCCCAAGATGCTGGTGGACTTCCTCTCTGAGAAGAAGACCATCTCCTTCCAGGGGTGCATGGCTCAGATCTTCTTCTTCCACTTTCTGGGAGGTGCCATGGTCTTCTTCCTCTCAGTGATGGCCTATGACCGTCTCGTGGCCATCTCCCGGCCTCTCCACTATGTCACCATCATGAACACTCAGCTCTGCGTGGGACTGGTGGGGGCAGCCTGGATAGGAGGCTTCCTCCATTCCATTATCCAGTTGTCCCTGATGCTCCCCCTGCCCTTCTGTGGCCCCAACATCCTGGATAACTTCTACTGTGATGTTCCCCAGGTATTGAGACTGGCCTGCACGGACATTTCCCTCTTGGAATTCCTCATGATCTCCAACAGTGGGATGCTGGATGTCATCTGGTTCTTTATCCTTCTGACCTCCTACTTGGGCATCCTGGTGATGCTGAGGTCCCACCCGGGGCAGGCGAGAAGGAAGGCAGCTTCCACCTGCACCACCCACATCATCGTGGTGTCTATGATTTTCATTCCGAGCATTTACCTCTATGCCCGGCCCTTCACCCCCTTCCCCATGGACAAGGCTGTGTCCATCAGCCACACGGTCATGACTCCCATGCTCAACCCTGTGATCTACACCCTGAGGAACCAGGAGATGCAGGCAGCAGTGAAGAGATTAGGGATGCACTGGCTGGTTTGTAAAAAGGTGTGACTGTGGGTCAATCACTTCTCTTTGACCCGTTCCCTTTGTAAAATGGAGAGAGAGATACTATATCTGCTCAACTCATAGCCTGTGTTGGGAGAATCATCTTTGTAGTGATGTGTGTGTGTGTGTGTGTGTGTCTTTATGGACTTTGACACTGAACAACTTACTCAGTTTTTTAGGAATAATAGATGCTTTCTCTTTGTGGGTTTGTGTTCCTGAAACAATGAGAAATGTTGGCGTGTCCCTGGAGAAGACACTTTCCTTTGGCCCTTTCCTGATTGAAGTTTCTTTTTATGATGGCAGAATTGCCCCTAGAACATTTTCTAATTTCTCTAAATTGCTTCTTTTCGCGGCATCTCCTTCTATTCTGAGTCCAGAGTATTGGCAAGACCAATTAAGAGACTTGTCATCTTAATCCTCCGATTGGGAGCTGTGTGACCTTTCACTTTTCAAACTGGTGACTCTGGATGAGCTACCTAACCTCTCTTGGTCTCCTCAAAGTATGAAAAACAAGACCAGTCCCAATAATGCCACAGATTGTCGATACAATTTAAAAGTTTAAAATGCATGAGAAAGTATTTTGTAAATCATAGAAACTTTGTGAAAATTATTGTTATTCTTATCCTTGACATTTCTTCTTCTATGAGTTGAATCGTGTTTTGGAGGTGAGCGAGGCACAGAGAGGATGAGGGCTGAACTCCAGAGGGTCATGCAACATGCCCAATAGGGCGTAGACGTTCAGGGCCGTGTCTGTTAGAGTCCGACTGCTTCCTGCTGCAGACTCAACACTTCTTACAAATATGAATCAGAAGATCTGTTCACTTGATCTCTCATCCTTTTATTTCCCTTCCCATTTGCAAATATGCATTTCAGATCTGATGCAGCACTTATTTGATCCATACTCTGTGTGTGTGTGTGTGTGTGTGTGTGTGTGTGTCTATAAATGGTGGGTTTTGGGCTCTAACTTCCTTGGTCTCTCTCTCTCTCCTCTCACTCCTCCTTCGTTCTCTGACTCTCTCCCTACATCAATTGCTGTTATTTCAGTTTCTTTACCTCCATCTGGGCCTGTTCTTTCTCCATTTCTCTGGTGTGCCTTGCTTCCTCCCTGCCTGGAGCTCTTTGCCACACACCATTGTATCTCTCCTCCACTACCAAAGTTAGGGGTTGAGATCAAGTTATCGGGCAGAGAAACAAACAGGTTATGGTTAAGTTGCTGAGTGTCACAGCCCAGACAACCTTAGCTAAACAGAGGGGGTTATTTTAGGGTGGAGAGTGGGGTCAGGTACTGTCGGGAATGACATAGCTGGTTCCCTTTTCTTCCTTTCTTCCTGCATCCCTCCTTGCCAATACAGTCATCTTGCATGTGGCCCAAACAGGGGTCTCAGCCCCCTAAACCTGACCCATCCATTTTGCTTACTGCCGCTGACTGGCTGAGTCTGTTAGGGTTCAAATTCCAAAGTCCTGTGAAAACAATCTGATTGGCTGAGGTTGGGCCATGTCTTCCCTGTGGCTGAGGGATATACAGGTCCTGTGACTTAAGCGTGACCAGCCAGTCCCCCTCCACCAGGGGTTGTGGGTAAGGGTGTTCCCAGAGAAGGAAGGTGTGAGTGAACAGCAATGTCCCCCAGCAATGTCTACCATGAAATCAACAGGAAGGTCACTCCTTAAGTAGCATTACCTAATTGGGTTTGGGTTGTCTCTAGTTACATCTGAATAGTCATGTTTTTATTCATTCATTAAACAAATATTAATTGCCTACAGTTTACTTTTTCAGTCCTATTTTGTCTTTTTTTTTGGAACTTGGGATTGAACCCAGGGGAGCTTTACCACTGAGCTTCATCTCCCGAACCTTTTTATTTTTAATTTTGAGACAGGGTTTTGCTAGGTTGCTTAGAACCTTGCTAAATTGCTGAGGCTGGCTTTGAACTTGTGACCCTCCTGTCTCAGCCTCCAGAGTTGCTGGGATCATCGACGTGCACCACTGTGCCCAGCCCAATTTTGTCCTGTTGATCCATAGGTTCCTGACTTTGTTTTGGCTCATGTCAGGGAAGAAAATCCATGTCTACCCTTGATCAGGAGCCTGAAGAAGAAAGGCACCTCTAGGGGACAAATGTGGCAGTAGCTGTGACTGACCCAATAGGAGCCATGAGTGAGAACAGAGGGAGCCTGGATATTGGGCATTGGCTCCTGCCACCTCCGGTGCTGCCCAGGGACTGGGAGTCCAAGATCACCACCCCCATGCTCACCACCACTCCCAGAGAGATGCACAAGGCTGTGGCTGGAAAGTGAATCCTTATTTTGTTTTTTGTTTTGTGGGATCAAACCCAGGCCTCAAACTCATGTTCCTCCTGCCTCAGTTTCTGGAGTGGTTGGGATCACAGGCGTGGGCCACCAGGCCAGCTTCTTTCTTGGCATTTTTTAGTCTTCTACATTTTAATGTCCCAGACAAGAGATTGTTTCACTTAAGTGGGTGTCTGAATCCTGACAGCCTTCAGGCATCTGTTCTTCCTGGGTGTATGGGGATTAGCCTACAAGACCAAGTCACTGCGGGCCCCTTCCCGCTTTTCTTCTTCTTCTTCTTCTTCTTCTTCTTCTTCTTCTTCTTCTTCTTCTTCTTCTTCTTCTTCTTCTTCTTCTTCTTCTTCTTCTTCTTCTTCCTCCTCCTCCTCCTCCTCCTCCTCCTCCTCCTCCTCCTCCTTCTTCTTCTTCTTCTTCTCTCTCTCTTTTTAATACTGTGAGGCATTAAGCCTAGGGGCATTTTACAAGAGATATATCTCCAGTCCTTATTTTTATTTTGAGGCCCACATTGGCCTCAAACTTGCAATCCTCCTACCTCGGCCTCCCCCAATCATTGGAATTATAGGCATGCAGTACCACACATGGCTCTGTGGGCCCTTTCTTGTAGAGAGACTATGTTATGTTTTTATTTACAGTGTGTGGCCATGGGGGACTGAAGGAGGATGCTGCCCTCCTTCTCAGACTCCCACCAGCCCCTGCTTCAGAGTGGCTTCTGTCCCCAGAGCTGGGGCAGTCAGCCCACAGGAGCCCTGCGGGGGGTTGGGGGTCAGCACAACGGAAGCAGCGCATGGCTTGCCAGACCCCCTCAAGCACAGGGGGCTCCAGGCCCCCACTCTACATGCTCTGCTTGCTCAGGCTCAGGCATCCTGCCAGCCACCAGAGGGGCTTCTCTAGATCAGGTCACATCTGTGCCCTTAGGAGCTTGGCTTGTAAGTCAGACCCCTCCTGAGGGCCCTTTCCTGGGCACCATGATGCATTGTTTTTTCTTTATTTCAACATTAAAAATGAAGTCCCAGGGCTGGGGTTGTGGCTCAGTGGTAGAGCGCTCGCCTAGCACATGTGAGGCCTGGGCTGACATACAGCAAGGACAAGAAATCATGCACATCAGCTGCAGCCATTCCTGCTGGATTCCAGCGCTGCCAGGGCTCCAGTTACTACAAACAGCAGCACCCTCCGAGTCATATGGCCCTTTGAGCCTTCTCACTCATGACGTCATGAATCGACACAGGATCTGCCTTGTCTGCAAGGCCACAATTCCCCTACTGTACCCCAGTCTCTGCTCCTGGGAATTCCCAGTCTGATGGAGGAGGTGGGGTAACAACCTCTCACAGAAGGCCAAGGCAGTCGGGAGGAGACAAGGGAGGGGCGCTTGCCTTGGCTGACTCCCCAGTCTAGACCTATGACCTCTCATGTTTTGACCCTTCTGCCTCCTGAACCTTCCTGCCCTTTGGCGAATTGATTAGCAGATCCGAGAGGTCATGCTCTTTCTCAAGAGGCAGGATGGTGCTGGACCGCCAGGTAGCTCTCCAAAGCCTGTTTCCTCCAGGCTTGCTAAAGGCAGAGATTCAGAACTACCTCCCTAAAGGGGTCAGTCCTCAGCTCTGGAACACAAGTATATACAAATTCATATACATGTGCACAAACTCCTGGTCCATCCTGGACTCAGCCTAAAGTGGAGCCTTGGAAGTTTGAGCCACGCCCTTTCCCGCTGTGCAGGTCAGTGTTCTCATCATTAGAATAAAACCAAAGACCCCACCACCAGAACCCCTGAAAACAGGAGCAGAGGCAGGCCTACCAGGCCCCAAGCCCTGCTCAGACCCCGCTGTCTGGATGGGGCGGTTGGAGCAGAGCAGATAAAGAGATCAAATCAGGCCTGTGGCTGGCAGCTCCCCTGTGGCTGGTGGACAGTTCTTGTGAAAGTGATTGCAGAAACTTGAGGTTATCAGCTGGCCAAGGGAAGCTGGGTGGGAAGGTTCAAGTGTACTGAAGCTGAAAGGTGCCCAGGAGGGAGACCTCCTTCATGGTCCAAGTTCTGGATGTGATTCTAGCAGGGCCAGGCCTGCAACCAACTGCATCCACTGACCCAAGTCTGGCATGGCCCAGAGAAAGCAATTCCCCTGGTCCTGGCAGATGTCCAGGCACAAATCCCTTCCCCAACTTCAGAACTATGACAGGCAAGGTCACAGGACATGCGTCCATTCCACAAATCAGCATCTGGCTTCTTGCCAGGCACTATGTTAAGTGTTGGGGCTACTGAGCCATAAAACAGGTGCACAGCTATTCTGTGTGGACACCCACAGACCTGCAGGGAGCTGTAGTTTAACCAAATCCAACCACAGGCACGAGTATAATTACAATGATGTGAACTTTGAGGAAAGGAGTTGGAAGCCTAGGGAGAGGAAGACCCCACCAACTGCATCATGTCTGGGGGGTGGACCAGGAAAGGGTTCCTGTGAATGAGACCTGGACACTCAGAAGGAGTCACCAACAGAGGGGGAAGAGCCCTCGGGGTTGAGACCGGAGGAGGAAGGGGTAGGCCCGTTCAGGAGCCGAAAGCCAGTGGGTGTAGGGGGAGATGGGATTCGGGGTGGGAGCCAGATTGTGACCCCCTTAGATTCCTTTCCTAGTAAAAGCTGTTCAGAGGGACAGGAGAAGCCAGCAGAGGGGACTGGATGCTTGTAGAGCCAAGTCCCTCAGAGCCTCACACT